AAAAAAAAAAAAAAAAAAAAAAAAAAATGTAAAGAAAATGAGTGGGCTAAAAATCTTTAAGTATGGAAACTGTAGATATGTATGTAATGTACTTAGTCAGATACAGACATGTTGGGTGTGTAATATGATGGAGAAGATGATGATATGTGTGTAAGAAATGGGACCAGAGTTTGTTTTGACTTTGTAAGATAGAAATAAAATTGTTTGTGTGTGTATATATATATATATAGGGAAATGCTACGGGTTCTGTTACGGGACAAAATTTTGTCCGGGTTTGTAACCGTTAGATCATCATGTAACCGTCGGAGATACTTGATCCAACGGTTACAAACTTCGACGGAATGGTTCCGGAACGAACCGTAGCATCTCCCGTATATATATATATATATGGAAAAATTTCAATTTTGGTCCGTTTACTTGTCTAAAGTCCTTTTTTGGTACACTAACTTTCCCTTTATATCAATAACAGTACGTTATGTTGCAATTTGTATCATTTTTTGGACATTAATCCCAAAAAATAATTGACCATTTTCGTGATAATGTCCCAATAGTGATACAAGTTGCAACATAACGTACAATTATTGATATAAACGAAAAGTTAGTGTACCAAAAATTAAACTTTAAACGAGTAAACGAACCAAAATTGAATTTTCGCCAATGTAGAAATGTGTGCAAGGGAGAGGAGCCTGTGGGATTGATTAATTTCCACCTCTCACAAGCCAAATTAAATAAAACAAGAGATAATAATAATCAGCTTTTTTTTTAGGCTCTCTTCACCGCCACCTTTCATTAATGAATGTCACAGGTTATAAGCACTTACCACCACACCACCTTCTTTTTTTCATGACCGCTGTGATTTTGATTAATTTTAAAAACGCTCACGCTTCAAACTTTTCTTTTTTCAACTTTGAATTTTGACCTGGAAAATGATTTTTCCGACCCGGCCCGATTGTTGCCTTTATAAATACATATGATACAACGTATATATGTATGGGACTATAGGAGTGCACCAGATTAATTATCAAACTTAATCAACTAATTTGCAAAATTTATAGTCATTTTTAGTGCATTTATCGCGGGTGCTTGTAAACAGTTTTGCTATGTAAGCATCGAATCCCACGAGTTATAGTCATTATGGATGTCATCAATATTTAAAACTTGGTGGGTTAGAAAATGGTCATATATTATAATTATTACTAGTGCACTACACGTGCGATACACGGGCTAATTTTATTAAGGTAAATATTTAAATTTGGATGATTGGAAGAACGTAAAGTAAAACGCATGTATTGGAATAAAACAAAATGTAACTTATATATTATTAAATACATCCCTTTACACATCATTATTTGTTTGGACTTTTACAAAATTGTCATACCGAATTTTACCTAAATTAACCGATTCCTATGCAATCTGATTTTTTTTTTTTTAATAAACAGTTGATTTGTTGTAATTAGGAAAAGATATATGCAATAGTATTTTCTCTAATTCGAAATTCTCGATTTTATTGTAATCAGTTTTTTTATTAAAAAACAAAAAATAATTTTGTCTTCTGTAAAATTGTAAGCATCAGCCGAAATTTACATAAATCAAATCCACAAAACCCATAAATTTAGGGTGCATATATAGTTGCTCGATGTTTTGGAAATAATTTAAGAAGATAACTATAAAACTGTCGAAAATATAATGCAATTAATGCTGGTTGACTCTTTTTTTGTTACTATTCTTAGTAAATAGGTTTTCTTTTTATATATGTATAGATTACATTCTTAATACATTTTATCTTGTTATTAATGTCGTATTATAAATTACATATATGAATAACATAAATCATATTTAATACACTAAGATTTTATTCACAGAAATACAAATAAAATGATAGATAAATAGTCATATAATATTAGAAATATTCTAATAAAAATATTTTTGATTTGATTATTTGAACTGTATTGTACTTATTACAACAAATTAATATTTTTAATTGAAGTTCATATTTAGTCTCAATTATGGATATTGCCCGACCTAATTAACCCAGCCGGTCCTGCAGTTCCTAAGGCCCTGGGCGAAACACCCAGACTTTTTTTACATGTTTATTATATTTTTATTTTTTGCGAAATTGAGATTCAAAAATTAAAAAATAAATAACAAAAAATAAACTATATAAACAACAAAAGTTAGTATATTTGTATTTAAAAATAAAAACTCGTAAATGTGCAAATAAATAAATATTTAAAGGTGAATGACATAATTTTCTATTTTTTAAAATGATGTGGTTCATATAATATTAACAATATTTTTTTTATAAAAAATGAAACAAATTATATAATCTTAAGTTTAAAATACTAACTTCATAATAACGCTAACAACAAGGACATAAGATAAATATTTCATCATACATATAAAATAGTGGCATGCTTTTACCTTTAAATGTTAATGTCACAAATAATTTTATTAAATATTTTAAATATTTATTAGATAAGCTTTAAACAACCCGTTGCTATTATTTGATGTAATGAACTAGTTTAAGCCAATAATAAAATAATAACATACAATCAACAAATAAATAAATTTTCTTATTTAAATAAAATAAAGAGGTTATGTAAAGATAACGTGACAATGTGCAAGCATATTCTTAAATAAAAGAAAATTATAGCTAGTCTTCACCTGAGAGAGAGAGAAAAAGGAGAGTTACACGTCTTATTACTATTGGAGAGAGAGACTGAGTGGTAAAAATAAATGCAGTTGCTACTTTTCTTTT